AAATATTCTCTTCTATTGGTATGTATCCGAACAGTTAAGCGGTTCAGTTCTTCTTTGCTCCTCAACCTCCTTTTGCTACCTTCCTGCCTCACTCAACCCATTTCCTTCCCAAAGGAAACATATGTTAGAAACACTGAAAATTGATTAGAGAAGTAAGCCACATTCTAGCCGAGACGCTGAGCTGTATTTCCCCTCGGCCTTGGCGCCATCTGCATATGCTACATTGAGTCCTAATTTCTGATTTGCAAGCTGGCAAGCTAGATTTACAAACCTGCTTTTTCTTTCATAGCACGAAACAATTTGGTCAAGTGTTATAAAATTTTATGAAGGGAAAAAAAGACACTTTACATTCATTTCAAGGTTGCCAGATTTAAATACAATGTTTCCTCTTGCAATTACTACGGGGAATGGCAGCAGTAGGAACAGTCTTGAGGAGTTTCCAGTTCTCAATTATCTCATGATAACTGTGATGCTTCAATATGTTTCTGCTCCATTTGAAGCACAAATCTGAGTTATAGTTTGGAGTTTATCTAGAATGTGAGGGGTTCACACAGAAGGGATTTTTCTTCTGTTCACTACTAGCAAACCTGATAAAATCCCGCTGCGTTCATTTTAGCACTGAAGCCAAAGCATCCTAATCAAAGTAGCTACATGAAATCTGTCTGAATATATATATAAACAGCTTTTGAAAAGTGGGATGAATCTTACATTATTTTGATACAATTGAAACATAATAGGTTTGTGATATTCTGAATGTTATTCTTTATGTCGTTTGAAAATACAGATAGTCCTCAAATTACAACAGTACATTTAGTGACCATTCAAATTTACAACAGCACTGAAAAAAAGTGACTTATGACTATTTTACACACGACTGTGGCAGCATCCCCATGGTCATGTATCAAAATTCAGATGGTTGGCAGTTGACTCATATTTATGATGGCTGCGATGTCCCTGGGTCATGGGATCCCCTTTTGTAGACTTCTGACAAGTAAAGTCAATGGGGAAGCAAGATTCACCTAACAACGGTGGCAAGGAAGGTCATAAAATAGTGCAAAACCCAGTTAGCAACTGTCTCACTTAGCAACAGAAATTTGGAGCTCAATTGTGGTCGTAAGTCGAGGACTACCTGTATATGCTGTTGTATTCTTTTAAATTCCCTTGAATGGAGACTTGCATTGGTACGTGACCTCTTCTAGCAGATATGGCTTATCTTATTTATGATATTCTTTATATAATTGACAATCTTACTGTGTTCAGGGCCTTTTCTCATTTTCATTTTTTCCTTGGTAGACAAGGACCTAAGGAAAATGATATTATCATAGGGACATATCCCTCAAAACACAGCCACTAATTCTCTCTCCTATGTTATGTAACATATATTTCACCAGGTATAGTATCATCAATATACTGGGCCATACAGATAATACCATGAATGCTACTAAACAGGTTGGAATTGAATCCAAGCAAGACAGACTTTACTGTCCATTGAAGACCTTGATTAATCCCAATAATATCATTTGAGGGAGAGGCACTGTCCTTAAGAGAGCAAATTCATGAGGTGGCGGTTCTCCAGCATTCATGGCTCCTGTTAAAGGAGAGATAGAAGCTGGGCCCAAGGTCCCTTGTGCCAGGTATGGCTGATATACCAATTTTGGCACTTCTGTAGCACGAGGACTTTGTTTCAGTGACTCATCCTCTTATTAAGACACACCTGAACTATTACAATGTGCATTACAAGGGCGCATCATTGAAAACCACCCGTAGCTTCAGTTAGTGCAGAATGTTGGCAAATATTAATAATCAGCGGCGCATTATATCTGTAATTAAGGGTTTCCGTAGACTGCTGATAGGCTTCTAAATACAATTCAAAATGCTGTATTTTTGACCTGCAAAGCCCTACATGACTTGGCCGCAAGGTATCTCCACAATCACCTCCTTCAGCCACAATCTTTCTAATACAATCAAGCAGAGAGTGACTTTAGCTTCTCCAGCATTTTCACAAGCTCAAAAGGACAGAGATGACGAGGTGGTACTTCTCCACAATGGCACTAATTCTGTAGAGTAGACTTTTTCTATGTGCTTGATTGTCCCCTGCAGTACAAGCCTTCCAGAGAGCAGAGAAAACAGAGTTGTTCTGGGGGCCGTTTGATGGTGGATGGTCATGATGTATAGAGGTGTTGTATGGATTTTTGTGATAGTTTTTAATAGCCATGGTTATTTCTCTGAGTTATTGGGTGTTTTCTACCCCACTGTGGTTATTTTGATGTTTAATGTTGAAAATATTCTAGCAATCTTTACTTTAATGTTTAGTGTATGTGTTATGCATATGTTTGATTTACCATGGATGCTTTCTGTAAGTTGTTGTATTTGATTATAAACTGACATTTGGCAGTATAAAGGTTTAATAAACAATAACATGTATTATCACTTTCAATAAAGAGTAATTAAAAATATTTTTAATCATTTGGAGAATAAGGTGAGAAAAACAGAAGGGATTATTTTTTTTTGCCAAGTATGAAAACTTCTGAAAAATTCCAGTTGTTCAGCAGTGAGAAAAAATTGTTAAAGCATTAATTTTAACTCTCTCTCTAACCAATTATCCATTAAGAGCAGGTGAATCTTAAAGAATGGTATTTCTTTGACTTTTAATAACACTCAATATGTCTGTTTCCAATCTGAAGAAACTTAATGAGATCATCCTCTGACAGCTTTTTCTTCCTTTCACAGTAACACAGAGTTAGCTTGGGAGAATGGTATTCTGTAATTGTATTACATTCAAAACTTCAAGGCAGAACATTTAACATTATTCTTAGTGGACTTACCTTTAAGAAAAGGCATTTTGTATAGCTAAAATGTTACACTGGGTTTATTTATTTAAAAGAAAAGAAAAGAAAATCCCACTGGTACTGTAGATGTTAGGCAGAAGAAAATTGCAGCACACATAATGGGAAAATTTAGCTATCACATATTTTTCTACTAACCGAAATGATTGAAAGATGCAACAGAGAGAAAGAGGAAAAAATGCAGAGTGACAGGCTGAATAAATGAGATGCAAATAAAAATACTGACTATATATATATATATATATATATATATATATATATATATATATATATATATATATATATAAAAGGCTACAGATTTAGATTAACATACTCCAAAAGGGAAATAGTTGTCTTTTTTTTTATTAATGAGACAAAAGCTAAAAAGATTTTAGAAACTTTCTTTCAAGTATTATATATTAAAAGATGAATCCTGAAAAGCAGTACTGGTCGATTAGTAAGCATTTCTGCCACCCAGATAAATGACTCTACTTGTAAAGCTGATTTTCATGATGTGATTATAAAGTCAATATAAAACAAAACAAAACAAAAGGAACAACTGAGATTTAATAGTTCAATATTTAATACAACTAGTCCTCGACTTACAATCACAATGGAGCCTATCCACTGTGGCTGCAATTGTAACGTTCGTTAAGTGAGGCCCCCATGCAATTGCCTTGCTTATCGACTCCCATCCTTGGATTCCCTGATGAAGGGAGTCACAGAGTGCTTCAGGGAAGATGCTGGAAGGCCTAGAGCAGGCTGTTGCCTGCCTGGCCTGTGCATCCTGAGGCCTTCGTCATCCTTGAGGCACTCCATGCTCTGCTTCCCACCCCGTGGGGTCTCTACAGACCTTGGGTCTACTTTCCCAATCCCATGGGAGCCCTGCAAGACAAATAAATCAATTTATGAATTTTCCTTTGTTATTTTATTATTACAAGTGTGAAAATCTGAACCCTACTGAATGACATGCACTATTACAACACTATAGCTTTTGCTAGAGCCCTAATGGTTTATATTTGTTACCTGACATTTTGCAAAAAGTCATCATGCTTAATACTGTGTTTCCCCAAAAGTAAGGCCGAGTGCTTTTTTTGTCATAGAATGCATGGAACGGCGTTCCAGCGCCTTTTTTTGAATGGAAGAACTGGCTCCTTCTAAGCTGCCAGAGCGAGTAAAGCTCTGGCTCGGTGAAAGGAAGCTGCCCGGGGAAATCGGGGGCATTGAAGGTCGACTCAGAAACACTTCCACGGCCCTGAAAGCAGACCCTCTTCTCTGCCTTGGTTTCCCCCCCCCCTGTTGGCCACCAGGGACCAGGACTGACTCCTGGAGCGAATCTCTTCAATGGACCAGGCGCACTCCCAAAGCAGCAGCACCGCCACTGCCTTGGTCACTCTGGCTCCGGAGGTCACTCTGTGTCATCAGAGGCAGAGGAGGATGAGGTGGCAGAAGACATGCCAGCTCCGAACAAGTGCCCTCTCAAAAGCTGCGGCAATGGCATCCGTCAGTTGACACTGCTCACGTGATCTGCACCTCGGAAGCTCCCTAAAGTGGTTTCCCCTGCTCCGTAAAGGGATTTTGAATAGAGCCGGAGCTGTGCGTGAGTTCTGGCACCTCTTTCTTTCTTTCTTTTATTGAAAATTTTTAGATTTTACAAAACAATACAAATCCCTTCCCCAACCCCCCCACCCTCCCCTACCCTCCCCCAACCTTCCCAGAACTGAATACAGGCTTAATTAAAAAAATTTCAAAAAGTCTTAAAACAGATATAAACCATAAACAAATCTAAATACATTGATTAAACAAGTTATAAAATACTTAGCAATAATATATATATAAAAAACAAAAATACAAGAAAATACAAGAAAATAGAAAAAAAGAAAAAGAAAAGAAGAAAAGAAAGAAAAAAAGGGAAAAAATAAGTCTAAAAAGTCTATAAAGTCTATGAAATATCTTAAGTTTTAAATATAAGTTATTGAAAAGCTAAGTGATATTTTTTTATATCCAACTTATATTGTGTAAAGTCTATCCATTTTTTCCATACCAAAAAATACTTCTCTTGCGATTGGTCTTTCAAGAAAGCCGAAATCTTTGCCATTTCTGCCAAATAAGAAACTTTAAAAAACCACTCTTGCAAGGTAGGCAAAGATTCCTTCTTCCAACATTGTCCTACTAACAACCTTGCTGCTGTGATTAACAGCCGATCACTTTCGAGTGCATTTCTTTAGTTGGATACTATAGAAATGATCCCTGAAAGTATAGTCTTACCTCTCTCTCTCTCTCTCTCTCTCTCTCTCTCTCTCTCTCTCTCTCTCTCTCTCTCTCTCTCTCTCTCTTTCTTACAAAAAAAGGCCTAACCCAAAAATAAGCCCTAGCTTGATTTGGGGGGGCTGGGACTAATATAAGCCCTATCCCAAAAATAAGTCCTATTTTGGGGGCAAAGCACACACATAAAAATCAAGCTAGGGCGGGGGTGGGGGGTGTGGATCTGCCCCACATGCCCTGCACTCACTAACCTTGCAGCCAGGTCTTTCCTCGCTGGCCCGCTTCTTCGGCAGTGTCTTCTGCAGCCAGGCCTGCATTTCTCAGTCACAGGCCTGTGCAGCCAAGAACCAAGGTGAGGATTGAATCCATGGTTCTGCAAGACCTCTGCAGTCAAGAACCGATTGAATCCATAGCTCGGTACTCAGCTACATAGGCCTTCCGGAAAGGCCTGACTGCAAAATGCAGGCTGGAATGCAGCTGCAGAAGAAGTGGACCGGCTGGGTGGGGCTGTCGGTGACAGATGTAAGACACCCCCTGAAAATAAGACTTCTTTTGAAGGGGAAAAAAAAGTCCCAGTCTTGTTTTCAAGAAAACATGGTATATAACTTTACACACATCATGACCTGTTTCTCTAAAAGAGTGGCCAAAGTGGCATGAGAGAACCTTGAGTCACCTAAGCCTGGAGTGAGAAGGTTAATGGAACTTTAATCCTCTTGCCCAGCTTCTGAAACTGTAAGATCCAGAGATGTCCTGTAAAAATGGGGCTTGTCTAGATACGCTATCTATCTCCTTTAAAAACAAAAATAAAAGTTTTCACCACCTGTGCAGCAACATGAGGCAAGGCTGGATAGGAACCCAAAGGACTACAGGTAGTTCTCAACTTACAACAGTTCATTTAGTGACTGTTCAAAGCAACAACGGTATTGAACAAAGTGACTTATGAACATTTTTCACACTTATGACTGTTGCAACATCCTCATGGTCACAGGATCAAAATTCAGATGCTTGGCAACTGGTTCATATTTATGACGGTTGCACTGTCCTGGGGTCATGTGATCATCTTTTGCGATCAAAGGGGAAACCATATTTCACTCAACAATCATGTTACTAACTTAACCACTGCAGGGGTTCACTTAACAACTGTGTGAAGAAAGATCGTAAAATGGAACAAAACTTGCTTAACAAATGTGTCACTTAGAAATATAAATTTTGGGCTCAATTATGGTCTTAAATCGATGACTACCTGTACTGGCTCTGTAGTCGTTGCGGTTTTTCATTTTCTTTCTGGATTCCAAGAAGGGAGAAAAAAAAATGGGCAGAATATGCCATCTATCCAGCTCTTTCTTGGATGGCTGGGAAATTAATAAAAATGGCTAGTCCCAGGTTGATTTGGTCACTACTATGCACAGTGATGTATGAATTAATCAAGAGAATGGTGGCATTAGCCAATCATGCGAACACAATTATAATCTACTTTATTTTCTGTTTAGAGAGTGACCTTTCCTTCTTTGTGTGTTGAGACTCAGGGCTGGATTAAACATTATGATCAATGTACCACGGACTAAATACTGGCTATGCATGGAGTCATTCATTGCCGTAATTACCCGGGAATGCCAAATTTGTGCACCAACAACCCTGTAATTGCAAAACAGGAAACTGGAAAAGAGTGATTAAGAAGAGTTTTACCAGCATTGTAAATCGATGCATTAGTGGTATTAAATTAATAGCTAGTTTAACAGTTTGTCCCATTCTATCATTATCTTAAGCTTTTGTGGTATCATTTCCTCATTAAACATTCTTGAAGAGGATTTCACTTGAGTTAGAGTCTTTAAATTACTATGCAATCAATCTACCTTTTTAATGAGTTTATTCCCATTTTTAAAGGTGTTAATTAAAACTGGCTAGGGAAGAGATGGATATAGTAAATGCATAAAGCAGTGACCAACTTGGAAGGTTAGAGTTTGCTGTCTTTAAGGATATTCACCTTGGCAGACCCACATTAATACTTCCTACCTGATAATGCACCAAGAAAAAGTTCATTGTCTCATGAACCTGAGCTATCTCGAATAGTTATTCTGTCCTCTAAATGCATGTCTCTATCCTCTGATAATCAAGGTGTACATACTTAATAAGAATCTTAATTAATATCTGAAATAGTCATGGATTTTGATCCTGCAGCTGGGATTCCTTCCTTCCTTCCCACCACCCCTTATTGTCAGAGACCATATAAAATGAAAGGACATTGACAGGGGCTATAAAACTGATTTTTTTTTTTCTGGGTGGAGGGATGAAAAGACCCCAAGCAAATTTAATTCACATGCTGAGAAATGGAAATGTCATTGCTTCACTCGGAGGGTTAATCACTTTCTAATTTAAACTGGCAAATTTTATAATGACACTGTGAAATTAGCAGCATTTTATTGTGTTAATTATCTACAGGACACTACATCATTACTTCTAATAAATGTAAATGAGATTGTCTCTCCTAGGACAATATAGAGACAAGGTGAATTTTTACTGGCTAAATCCTATTTACTTGATTCCAGGCAAATCTTGCCTTTGTCTTCTTCAAGCCAAACAATAAAATACATCAAATGATTTATTGCACTGCATTGTATTGTCTGGATCTGGTTCTCATTAAAGTGTCAATATTTTGAAGAAAGTCAAATTTTCCCACAAGAGCAAGTTTTGTGCTGCATGTGCAGGTTTAAAAACGTAAACGTATCAATAATTACATTTTTAGGGATAAGAATAATTTCAAACTTCTTTACAATCTGTTCCTGCATTACAAAATTGAAGAGAGCAAATACTGTTAAACAGAATGAAGCTTATGTCTACCTAAATAATTTTGCACAGCACTATATATATGTCTGTCAGCTCAAAGGAGTAAAGCAGAGGTATACTGTTGTTGTTGTTGTTAATTGCGAAGTCGTGTCCGACCCATCGCGACCCCATGGACAACGTTCCTCCAGGTCTTCCTGTCCTCTACCATCTTCTGGAGTCCATTTAAGTTCATACCTACTGTTTCAGTGACTCCATCCAGCCATCTCATTCTCTGTCGTCCCCTTCTTCTATTGCCCTCAATCTTTCCCAGCATTAGGCCCTTCTCCAATGAGTCCTTCCTTCAGATATACTGTACAACCTTGGTAACTTTAAGACCTGTGGGCGTCAGCTCCCAGAATACCCCAGCAAGCCATGAATTCTAGGAGTTAAAGTCTACAAGTGTTAACATTGTCAAGACTGGACATCCCTAGACTAAAGAGGTTGTTTTGGGGTGTTTGATAATTCACATATTCTGTATTGCTCTTAAATGAAACTTTTTGCATTAAATAAGGGGTCTGTGAAAAGGTATTAATTCAGTCATTGATTATCTCTGTGAGACAGACAATTCCAATCCATTTTCACGGTTTTGAAAAATCAGTTTAAAAAACACCCAACTTCTATGTTGGTTTTCAGCTTTCCCTAATGTATGGAACTGTTGAATACCATTTCTCCAGGGAATAATTTTTAATGTAAGCTCCCTGAGCAATCATTTTTTTAAATCTATATTTTCTAAATCATGAGCTTTGTTGCATACATTTCCTAAATGCAAGTCTTTTTATATTTACGTTTCCTAGAATTTTAGAGATTGAAAATGTTATATCTTCAGTTCTTTAGGCATTGAACGAGGCAGAGCGTTCAAACAGCAAACAAGTTTATTAATTCAGAACAGAAACAGCCCTAAAGGCTGCTGCACAGCTATTATACAGTTAGCCTCTAGGTGGCAACCAATAGGTTTAACAGTTCCCTGCCCCAAACCTTATTATCAGCTTGGAGACAGCCAGTCTGGCTTTCAGTAACAGCAACTGTTAAACAATACAGCAATGTAGGTCAGACATTAAGCAAGTAATTTAAAACAGTTGTGCCCAATACATTACAGGAAGACTGTTAAGTCATTGCCCCCTCCTCAAAGCAGGAAGCCAAATTAGAAAACCCCAATAGATGTCAACCTTTGACATAAAAATATAAATTGCAAATTGAATGAATGGAATGCGTAAAATAAGAATGCTTGGCCTAAAAAAAAAGATCAACATAAACTTACATACTTACTCTAGAACAAGAAGATAGATGACAACACACAAATTACTGAACTACTGCGCTATTTTGTTTTGCAAGCAAAGCTTTGCTTAAGAATTGGATTTAACAGCTTCAGTCACCCATAAAACACTGTTTGTAAGAGGGTGAGCTTTTGGTAGAGGCATACTTGCCAATTTAGTTAAAATGGGATGGATGAATTAAGAATAATCCAAAACTGGGATTTGGAGGTGGGAAGGATATCAACCCATGCAGGAGAACAAACTCCAAAATCAAAAATCAGAAGACTGCTGTGGCAAAACAATTTTGTCTTGTTGCCAAGAAAATTGAATGGAAATGGCTGCAATGTTTAGACAGGTTTTGAGTTGCCAGAGAGCAGTATCCACACTATAGTGGCAAGATGGCAGTTGCACCACAGTGATGAAAGGCTACCTCCTTTTTAACATGTATTAAACTAGGAACAAAGCGGTAGAGCTTCAATTGCAATTGGACAGACACTATGACAGGTCCTGTTTTGATTTGACATTTACCTCTAACCTTCTCCTCCCTGTGTATGCTGTTGGTACCAAATGATGCCTGAATGGAGATGGAGGTAAGGGCATGGCTAGGCCAAAGCTCAAGGAACTTGATGTGTCAAGTATAAAAGAGGACTTTTTTATTTTATAAGGACACATACATATAAGGAACACTGGATGTGAGAAGCATGAAATAAGAACTGTGAAAGCAGAAATGAAACCTACTATTCTACTAGTGGATGAATTCAGGGCATGAAGAACTGAAGCAGGGATGACACTAAAAAAAGGGATGCGAAGTAAGTGTTTGGCCTTAATTCAGTGAATGATGTGGCCATAACCTTTACAATTAATGGTTATTTGGTAATCAGTGTTATGCAAGTGCATGCCAGGGCATGTCGTAAAGTTGAAAGAC